TGCCTGCTGTTGTGTTACAGGTATGCAACACCGCCTTAGCTGCTACAGGTTGTAGAGAGCTGCTGATACCAAGCTGCATGTGGTTTCTCCATGATCTCTGCACTACTTGGGCTTCTGCCAGTTCTGTCTCCTAGGGTTAAAGAGACCTTCTTAATATCAAAAGAAGTGCTTGCTGAACGCGGTTCAGACCAAACCTGTTCTTACAGGCTCCTGGAAGTGTTCAGGGCTGTGACCCTCGGATCACAGGCGCTTTGTCTGCACGGGGATTTGTTGGTAGGTGGGGAAGGAAGTATCAGCTGCAGGACCAGAGTTTGTAATTCACCCCAGTGCCACAGCTGGGGACAGGTTAGTCCCCTCTTCTCAGAACTGCGCCCAGAAACAATATTTGCTGATATTGGCTTACCATCCCAAGGGGCAAAATTGCTATGAAATGTTTACATGGACCATTTGAAACCCGAGAAGAGGATGTTTTTAGTAATGGGGAAAGAGCCAAATACCTTAGAAGAGAAATATTCCAGCTTTAAGAATTAATTACCACTTCCCAGTAATGCAGGTTGACTATTAAATAGCCTTGTGCAATTTCCTGTACAGATACAGTTCAATGGCAATATTGTGGGCAGATCAAGAGCAAAACATAGTTCACTGAACCGTGACCCAGCAAACTCAGGCACATGGGTTGATGCCTTTGCCCTAGAAAAGCCCGGAGAATGAGGCATGGATCTCAAGCAGCCACCTATACACAGCAGCTCACACCATGAGGGCCTCTGGGTGAGGATTTCTCCTATGGATGGTTATTTTCCGTCCGGGAAGGAAAGCATGGAGAGTAAACAACCAAGTGCATTTTTAAAAACAGCAGCTGTAACACCTATGCTGCTCTGTAATCATCACACAAACAGTTGTAAATCGAGTATCAGAGGCCAGCAAAATGGATGCTCAATTCCTATATCCTGATTTTTTTCTGGTAGTGTGGGAAGATAGTATGTAACTGGTTATTCTCCACCATGTACACTAGCATAACAAATCACAATATGTATTTATGCTTCTTTCGGTCAAGAGCATCGAGCAATGAATGTAGTAATAAAACCTCATTAAAAAGTTACCTGAAAACCATTTTCAGTAAAAAGGCATTGCTTTCTCTTTCTTTATATAGGTGGAAAGAGGAGAGCGGTGAAAGACCAAGTCTGAGAATCCATGGGGTTTTCTAGAAGGCAGCATTGTCACTAATGACTAAGATGAGCTGCTGTTTTGTGAGCCGTGCTCTAACTCGTAAGAAGCTTTTCAGGGGTGCCACTCAGAAGGTTTCTCGGGAAGGCAGCTCTTCAGAGGATTGCATGGTACCTTGGTGCAGTCATGCAGTGACGGCATCACCCCTGTAAATATTGCTCCTAGGACGACAACTGACTTTGGGTCCTCGCTTTAGGAGCAAGTGAAGAGATCCTGTTGTCTTACTGGTGTGAATAGCCAATGATCATGTGCCAACTGCTGCAGAAGGTCGACTTCAGAGAAAGGGCTTTATTCTGCACCTATTCAGACCTTCCTAAATAAACAGCTGCTTCACCAAAAGCTATTGAAGTTTCCCAGGACTTCAGGTCCAGGCACAGGATGCAGATTTTTTTCTAGTCATCTGTCCATCCAAGCCTCGGCCACTTTTGCTCCCTATCCAAAGCTCTTTCCCACAAAGGGAATATGGTCCTTTTTATCCATGGTCCGTCTTGTCCTCGGTTCTTCATCCGAACAAACTACAGAAACAGAGCATGGACCTGTGGCACTGACCATTGCATGTGCTGACAGCCTGCGCCCAGCCAGGAGGCAGCGAGGAAGCAGCCCGGGTCCAGGCTGCTCAAGCAGGGCAGAAAACGAGGGGACATCCATAAAGCTTTTTGTAAAAAATATCCCTGTCTCTGCCTAGGGATCTGTGGCTCCTGAACTGAAGCACACAGAAGAGGTTGATGGCAGCAGCTATTTTAAAATTCATGAGGTCTTAAAGCATTACTGGATGATTTCAGTGCTGGGAGATAACTAGACAAAATAGCCCAACGGGGGGGGAGATGCTGATGTAGTAGCAGCCATAATAGTGCGTGATGCTGCTGAACACGTCCCTGCTTCTGAAAACCCACTCATCCGTCTTGTCAGGAGAAATTGCTGTGATTCTGTTTCATAGCGGAGGTGGTGGGAGGAAGGAGGCAGATGCATATTTTCCTGTGATCAAGGAGAAAGGCCAGGCCATACCCCACTCATCCTCCTGAAGCTGCCCTGGCCTCTGGGTGAAAGGCTTAGAGACTGGCGATGGCAAGTATTCGATGGGGAGGGTGCAAGTGGCTGTGATCCAAGAGAAACAAGGCTTTGGTGCTCCGCTGCTAGCACGTGAGATGGCTTTCCCTCCCTGCCCTGGTGTGCCCCTCTTTGTCCGCTCACCCAGGACTGAAGAAAGTACCAGAGCAAAACGAGCTGGGAGCCAGGTAGCTCCTCCTGCTCTTTGCCTGCCAGCTCAGTGCTGCACAGGCTGAAAACTTCTGGGTGAGGGGTAAATCTGTGCCAGCTGGAGCAAATTCTGACAAACTGCTTAAATGCCTTATTTATGTATCTGTACCTGAAAGCATTATCCAGAACGCCCCAGCCCAGCTGCTGCCTTAGGCTGGAGGCAGGTCAGAGCAGCCCTCCTTCCTGGCCATGGGCATGCTTTAGCCAGTGAGATTCCCCATTACATCCCTGAGGAGCCTCATCCTGCTCCTGGCATGTGGCCAAGCCAGCCCAACAGCGTGGGGAGGGGTTGGGAGGGTTTGAACCTCCACCCAAACATAGGTGCCTGTGTAATGAGAGGTGTCTCTAGGTTCTCCCCATAGGAGAAATGGGGAAAATCACTGTATTCACCCTCCTGCCCATCTCTCCCCCTTGTGTGCCCAGCAGCCTACTGCCCCAACGCCCCCCCCTACCCCTGTAGACCCAGGACAGCTGCTCGTGGCTTACAAAGGCTCACAGGGAGGCATGGGAGGTCAGTGCCTATTGCTGTGTTTCACCTGCCCTTTGATGACCAAGGTGAGATGCAGACAGGTCCAGCACACGCTACCTGCCCCTTTAATGTATTTTGTGCCCGTGTACGAGTCGGATACTTTTAGCAACTTGCTGTACTGGATGCGTGAGTAAGAAATTAAGCTCTGTCATTTCCAAAGACAAAGGCTACCGTTAAAAAAATTACCGAAGCTGTGTCATAGTGGTAATTTCTCTTGGAAAGAATTTGTTGTCCCTGCATTCAGGATGGTGAAATGCTGCATAAAACATCCCACTTGTGATTTTTCAAACTGTCTTTTGAATTTCCCCATGAACATGTGGCCTGTGTGGTGAGCTAGAGTCTGCCGGGGATGTGTTCATTCTCCTCAACCCCATCCCTGTTCCCCCTGAGTCCCCAGCGCAGAGTCCTGGGCCTGGCAAGGCAACTCTCAGAATGAAGAAATATTTAAAATGCATTTTAAACAGTACTTCTATTTATCCAGGCTGTCACCGCCTTTTGCACTTCCATTAATTCAAGAGTTCTGGACCCTGTTTGCAGTCCCAGTTCCATCTCCCGTGCCCTTTCGTAGGGCAGGACAGGGCCTTCAGAGAGGAGACACAGAGTAATGTGCCGGGACTGACGTTGTGCACGTGGCCCTGGATTGGGAACAGTGCTGCTGGCATCTCACACCCCTACCCAGCGCTCAAACAGGCCACTGATGCTTCCTTGCAGCGCATCACCTTGCTCAGTCACCCTCCCCTCGATTACCACTGTCACGTGCACTTTCATCTGCAGGTCAGGAGCAGAGGTGTCCCAGAAAGTTTCAAGTCCCAGGGGTCAGAAACAACAGATACTTCCCACTAACTACAAGGGACTTATGCAGCAGTTGCCTGCCTTTCCTAACAAAGGCCAGAAGAAGAGTCTCTTTGGACTTAACCTAAGAAAATAATTTAAAAAAACCCAACTTGCGAGGTCAGCAAGTTTCCTTGTATACAGATTTACTCCACTGCCACACTTTTTACTTAGCATGGAGCAGAGCTTTATTTACCAAAACCATGCACATCCTTCAGAGGCATATTTGAAGTGCAAAACCCACGTTCCATGCTCACACATCCAGCAAACGGTTAATTAAAAAACATTGTAGTGTGGTGTAGCTCTTATGTGAAATAAGAGTAAGAAGTCTGACCTGTTTCCAATGGCTACTAAATTGCCCTGGGGAAGATAAAGATGTGATTCCTTTCAAAAGTAGCTATTTTTTGTTAAGGGAACCTACGCATCAGTCCTTCCTGTCACACATCTCCAGAGAAAGCAACAGCCATCCCACACACTCTGTCACGAATTGCTCAGCACTTTGTCCCACGGTAATCTGTAGGAGAAATTCAACCCTCTCGTTAAATGCTTTGGGCTCAAAAGACTAATTCTGTGGGATAGATCTCTAAAGCGTGTCAGAAATTGGAGCTCATTCCTAGCAGCTTATCGTCATTCAGGCAATTACAGGTGGAAGCAAAACAGCAGTTGTTGAGGGAGAACAGAGATCCTATTATAATCAGAATGCTTACAGACAGCTTTACATTGTCATGTTTAATAAAGCTTTCTTTTTTCCTCTCCATATAAAGCTTTCCATCAAAGGCTTTCCAAGCATTTTATAAAGGTAGGTGAGTGTTACATCATCATCATAATTCCCATTTGACAAACAGGAAACTAAGGCCCAAAGAAAGTGTCATTTGAGCAGAGTAAAACAGCAAATCCCAGCCCAAAACAGAAACGAAATCAAAACCTCCTGGCAAAAGTCCCCTTCTCCAACTATCTCTATTTAGTTGCTATGCAGCTTTTTTTCATGTGTGTGTAAAAATAACCTAACCAGTCAAACAAGAAAGAATGGCAAGGAAATCACAAGCTTCAACATACTTACTTCCATACTGCTGGCGTTAGTACAAAAATAAAGATTTTTATTAACTAGTTTACAAAAATAAAGTCTATTGAGTCACGCAGGATCTCATCGTGGGGGGTGTTATTTGACTTTGGAAGATAAAGCCTGTTTGAAACGTCTCTTTAGGTCTTGCATGTTGGGAGACTTGGGCCGAGGAATGATGGATGACCGCCTCCTGTCTGTGCTGCCGGCGTGCTGTAGCTTGCTGACCTCCTTGCAAAGATACTGGAAAACATTGAGGACGCCCTGGGAGTCGTCACTCGTGGAGATTTCCAAGAACAGGCTACCCAGTTCATTTGCCAGCTGTAGTCCCTCTTTCGCCTGCACTTGCCTGGCGTGGAGGAGGTCGGCTTTGTTCCCCACGATGATGACCGGAGTCCTGGCATCCGGGTGGACCTGGCGTATGTGCTGGTAGAGGGGTCGGACTGACTGGTAGCTGCCGTAGTCGGTGATGGAGTAGACCAGGAGGAAGCCCTCTGCCCACTTCACGCACCTGGACAGGGAGTCCAGCACCTGCACGCAGTCTTCCTGCACCTGCGACACGACAGAGCGCAGCGATTCGGCCCCGGGTCGCGAAAGCGCAAAGCCCGTGTCACGCCGCGTGGCAGAACGGGCCCGAAGGGACGGCCGAGCTGTCTCGGGAGACTGAGCCGGGCCTGGCGGC